CACGTAGGATTTCCTATATGTCATGTCATGGATTGTTTACATCTCCTATATCGCACACGTAGGATTTCCTATATGTCATACGTAGGATTGTTTACATCTCCTATATCGCACACGTAGGATTTCCTATGTGTCATACGTAGGATTCTTTACATCTCCTATATCGCACACGTAGGATTTCCTATATGTCATACGTAGGATTGTTTACATTTCCTATATCGCACACGTAGGATTTCCTATATGTCATACGTTAGGATTGTTTACATCTCCTATATCGCACACGTAGGATTTCCTATATGTCCTGCGTAGGATTGTTTACATCTCCTATATCGCACACGTAGGATTTCCTATGTGTCATACGTAGGATTGTTTACATCTCCTATATCGCACACGTAGGATTTCCTATATGTCATACGTAGGATTGTATGTATCCCCTATACGTCATACGTAGGATTTTGAACTCCTAATTTGGATCTTTATCCCCTTTCTTGAGCATTTTCTCCAAAATGTGAGATTTTTCTCATACGACTCATCATCTCTCCTAAATATGACTTAAAAAGGCAAGCAAAATGACAGAAAGTAAACTTTAGGTATACGCCAGTCTGGTACTTCCAACGCCCATAGAATCACAAACTGGTACCTAACAGTCACGTTATAGACGTCCTCGTAGTGGCCGCCAACCAGTAACGACCCCACATCAAGACCTATGGGACCCGTGAAGATCCGGGTTAGAACTGGTCTTCAGTAACCCATGCTTGTCGTAAGAGGCGACTAACGGGATCGGGTGGTCAGGCTCGCTGACTTGGTTGACACATGTCATCGGTTCCCAATTGCGCAGATCGATGCTCATGCTGTTGATCACTGGATTGTCTGGTCCAGACTCGATTATTTACAGACCGCCGCCATATAGCTGGAATATTGCTGAGTGCGGCGTAAAACTAAACTCGCTCACTCACTCACCTATGGATTCGGACCTCCAACACAGGTTCCGACCCATACGGCCCGTACTGTACCAGGGATCAGAGGAGTATCAGCGAGAACAGTTCGACGACGTCTACGTGTTTGCGGTACCCGTAAACATCGACGTCGATTTCGACGTCTCCAGTGGAACAGACACCACTTGGGGAGCGCGTCACTGGGTAAATAGTTCTCTTCACCCCCATGAGTCACGCCCCCTTCGTCACCGGGCGGACGGCAGGACGCGTGTCTACAGGTGCACAGGTGAATAGACTAACACGTTACATAAGGCCACGTGTTCGTGAAGGTGACAGTTTTGGAGGTGGGGTCGTTATAGCTTGGAGTGGGAAAACAGCTGCAGCAAGGACGCCAATGATTGTGATTGAAGGAACTTGAAGCTGAGAGAACCAAGACAAGATTTTTCATGTTTTTATGTCTAAGATATCACGATATTTTCTATGAGGCCAATATTTATGTTTACTTTAATATTCTATATTTTATATACAACGTTATTTCATTCACCTAATGTTTGTGGGGCGGTGAGGTAGTCTTGTGGTTAAAGCGTTCACTCGTCAAGCCGAAGACCAGGGTTTGATTCCCCACATGGTTAAAATGTGTTAAGCCCACTTCTGGTGTCCCCCGCCGTGATATTGCTGGAATATTGCTAAAGCGGCGTAAAAATAAACTCACTCACTCACACTCACATCTAACGTTTGTGTGAAGGTTTATATTCTGCCCCCATTCCTTAAGCGGTTAAATACACTCTGAAACTAACAATCTAAACTTTTGTGTCTCTTATAACGATCGTTTAACATGTATTCTTTGCGCTAGTATGACGTCACAACTCGAAAAGTTCATGATAGTATTTATTAAGATTTATATTACTCTAATGAGTGTTGTTTTCAGTAAGTTATTATTATTATTATATGATATATTTATATAGCGCACATATCCACGCAACTAGTACATCCTCAAGGCGCTTAATATTTGTGGTGATGCCATACTTGTGCATCGAATTCCATCGATTTCTGAATAAACATGGTAAAATGAAAAGTCACAATCGGAGCGATACTGCTTTTGAACTCACGATAATAGAATTTTGATACAGCGGGTGAGTGAGTGACTATGGTTTTACACCACTTTTAGCAATATACCGGCAATATCACGACGGGTTACACCGGAAATGAGCTTCACACAGTGTACCCATGTGGGGAATCGAACCCGAGTCTTCGGCGTGACGAGTGAACGCTTTAACCACTGGGCTAGCCCACTGCCCCGAATTTTGATAGAAGAAAGGCACGCATTTCTGTACAATTACCCTACTGCAGCAACTCAGACCACGGATCACGTATGCTTTGATGACGAACATACATCAGATACGACGCGGATTTTAATTACGAAAGCCATTTCCATGTCTGATTACTTTATACACGTAGAATCCATGCCAAGGTCAAGGACATCCGCGTTTCTATTACAGGCGTGTGTCTTTATGACACGTCATCCCGTGTCCTGGTGTGATATATGCCACTTATATATACTAGAAGGGCTAGGCTGTAGCGTGACTATAAACCACTAATGCTGTGTTCTCCATGTCACGCTATAGTCTACTACAGGAAGGTCTTTCGAGAAGTTTTGTGTTTTCTGCCTACCACATATAGAGGTTTAACGATTTTTTCGTCACCATTTGCAGATCAATATTTCTATCGTTTCCTCAGATCAGTGATCTTTGTATTGCAGAGATCGTAGGATATGTGGGGTTTTCAAGATTTCTTTCCAAATTTTAAACAACAATAATAATTATTTTACAGACAAATCTGGTGAATAAGGTGAGTAGGGTAGAAGCTCGTATCTTCATTCCAGTACAGCAGCCATTAATACGTTACTGGTGTCATTGGAACTTTGTTCTGCTTGTTGTGAACATCAAGCCGAGCTTTGATGTTTAGTTTGGACGGGAGGCTTCTGTTTGATAACCTCGCGGAATCTTTGACATATTATTCAACATTCTAGCCGGACTTCAGTAAATACTGGATTGTGATTGGTTCATCAAAGACATTCAGAGGTATATAATCACGTTATATACCTCTGATTTTCAAACACAGTATGTATTTTTTAAAAATCTGAATAACGCGGTTATGGTAGAATGGAGATAAAAGTACTGCGTTGGAAAATCAGAGGTATGTAACGAAATTATTATAGCTCTATTTTTTAATCTTAAACATCACGCAATGAGTTCGGTCATAATCAAATTTAGAGCTATTATAATTCCGTTACATACCTCTGATTTTCCTACACAGTATGTTTATCTTCTAATTAACATGTTTTCCACGTGGAACATAGGCAATGTGCATTATCCCTTTGCTATCCGAAAATAATGGCCATAACTTTCTCAGTGATTGCATTAAATCTTCGGATTTGGTAACCAAAAACGTATCGACTACTTTTCAACTCAATTAATTCTTCTTTGCTTTCTGGTTTGGGAAACCCAACACGTTAAGACTCCATTGACTCTTCTTTGCTCTTCTGGTTTGGGAAACCCAACACGTTAAGACTCGATTGTTTCTTCTTTGCTTTTCTGGTTTGGGAAACCCAACACGTTAAGACTCCATTGATTCTTCTTTGCTTTCTGGTTTGGGAAACCCAACACGTTAAGACTCCATTGTTTCTTCTTTGCTTGTTTGGTTTGGGAAACCCAACACGTTTCGACTCCATTGTTTCTTCTTTGCCTTTTTGGTTTGGGAAACCCAACACGTTTCGTCTCCATTGATTCGTGTTTGCTTTTGAGATCGAACTGATGTTCCCAGATGTTACAACTTGTCGTTAGCATAAACATTTGGGTTGCGATTACTTCTGATTGTAACCCACAGTTTCATCCAATAGTTTTCTGGGAACCCATCGGGAACGACAATTGACATATGTAGATGACATATATTCACGCCGAAGCATTTTGTCTGTTTTAAATCAAGAAATCTATTGGTTAATGTCAGGATGTTGACCACTAATTGTGTGTGCTATGCTGATAGCGCGTCTACTACAGTAGGCGTCATCGTCCACACTCCCTCCCTCCCCTAACGTTGGGAAGTGACCTATGATGGGATGCAGCTCTATGTACCATGCATACTTTCATCATGTTTCTGTAATACTATTCTGAATTATGTAATTCATTGTAAGACATTGTTGTAATTGAATTGCATGGTTTCTATAACGTCTTGACTGATCCAGTACCGGACAGAAACTTACAGAAGGTCTTCACACCATGTTCCTTCTGTTAGCACTGAGCAATATTATATCGATCTATGCATTTGGGGCACGATGACATGTGTCAACCAAGTCAGTAAGCTTGACCACCCGATCCCGTTAGTCACCTCTTACGACAAGCATTAGTTGTTGAAGACCAATTCAAACCCGTCTTCATGGGTTCACACCATATGAGTAGGGCATGCATGACTTTTGTCATGTATGTACTACATCAAGACCAGCAGCGGGTGAAGATCGCGTTTCACCCTGAATTCTAGGAAGTTTGACTGATTTTGCTGCAAGGTGAGTAGTATTATCACTGACGTTATTGCCATTACAACGGCTATTTCGTCATACTGTCGTTATAATTATATTGTCATTGGAATTTTACTGCCACTCTGACCACCCGATCCCTTTAGTCGCCTCTTACGACAATTCTAACCCGGATCTTTACTCGTTCACACCAAGTCATATCTAGAATTACACCAAGAACACCAGTGTGTAAAAATCTCGTTTTATCCTTGCTGAAGACCAGGGTCCCGTTCCTCAAAGCGATCGTAGCGCTACGACAGTCGTAAGTCTATGTTAAAGTATGGGAGTTACGATCACCTTAGCGCTACGATCGCTTTCAGGAACGGGGCCCAGCTCTAATCTGGATCTTCACGAGTGTAGAGAGGGAAGGATGCGACAGTCGCGCCTTTCAGTAGTCTCAACCGCTGCAACTTACAATTTTAGGGGACCAGCATCATATTCATGCAACGCTTCCAATCCATTCAGTGGGACGATGTTTCAAATAATATGGCAACGCAGGGTGTTTTCATACATATTTATTCACATAACGTGAATATATTGCATTAACTTACAACATGCGTCAAAGACTCAGTACTTTCAATAACAGATAATACTTATGTGAACTAGTGTACACAGTGTACATGTACACCTCCAGTGGAATATATCACTAAATAACTGACAATGTAGGGGACATGTTTCCACTTACAAGCATAAGGCCACAACATCCTGATTATTTGTTTGAGGAAGAATTGTGTTCATGGTAATGGCAACATTTTGTCTTTCTCGACTATACCGCCAGAATATTGCGGACTGCGCCGTTAAACAACATTCGCTCACTTCAACACTGTACTATTCGTGAGCTAGGAGTACTCTATGGGCCTATATACTTTACAAGCCATTTTAAAGGCATGTCACCCAGAAAGTTGGATGCGAATTCGAAATGGTGGTTAAGGGAAAAATATTAAATCATACAAATGCGTTCACGGCTGTTCAATATTCATGTACAACGACCTGATTCCGGATTATGGTTTTCGGATATTTTTGTATAGATCTTTTTGTTGTTTAACGACACAATCTGCAATATAAAGGCCGTCTGTAAATAATCGAGTCTGAACAGGATAATCCAGTGATTGACATAATGAGCAACAAATGACGTGCATCAACCAGGTCACAGAGCGAGACCACACAATCTCGTGAGTCGTCATGTATGGCTAGCATGGGTTCCGGAAGATACATTCTCATCCAGGTCTTCACTGGGTGATCATAACTACATGCATCTGAAGTCAGGTAAGTACATATATCCTGACGCGCGGATATGAAAAACAGTTCACAAAGAGGTCACTGCGCACTAGCTCTTAATGTCTCTGACTTACTAATTGACTTATGTCACGTCAGATTCTCTTCATCATTCTTACTTAGGTTTCGTAGTACACGAGCTTTCTGCATGGATCGGAAATAACTACATTCACCTCCTAGCGTGATCAAAGGTGAGCATGCACTATGGAGCCATTAGATGTTCTCATTTATACCATCGCATGACATCTTTGTGTGAAGACCGATGCTGCTATAACATGATTTGCAAATGGAGATTAAAAATAACAGATTATAAATTTAGGTTCATTTGCCAAACAAGCAGCAATGCGTGAAAGGGATATTTAGGATTGAACGTGAACAATATTCGAGTCACATGAATATTCGAGATATACGTTTACCACTGTGGGAAGCCCACAGTGCCGAAGGTTCAAACCATCCTAAAGCGGATCCTTGCACAACTAAGGAACATAACATAACCATTAGGCCCCCATGACACGTTTTCTTCTGTGGGCACCAATCTATTGTTATTGCCGCCGAGAAATAGTCATTAAAACGTGAAACGGGCTTCTGACAATCTTCCCAGTAAAAGAGCTTTTTCTGAAATCAATCCATTCAGCTAAAACAAATACATGAAATTATACAAATCCAACAAATTTTAACAATATTTACAAAGCGTCACTAAGTATTGTCGACAAGACACTGATTGTCATGGTTACGGGAGAATCTTACAACAGACAATTCAAATGGGTGTAATGCATACATCAGAGCGGCAACTTCCAATGTGAAACGTGAAACTATTCGTGTTTTACAGTGTTGTTCATTGAAAGTGATGTTTGGGAGAATGCATCTAAATTTGCTCTGAAGTGAAATGCGTGAAAAGAGTCCACACTGTTTCAAGACATTTCAAGGACGTCGTTCGGGAAGATGGTGAACTCGGTGGATGTATTTCATTTTAGACGTGTCCACAACGCCTGTGACACCATTCGCACAAGAGTATACTCCAACGCCACAAATAAATGTGATTGAGCAAGAAGGGCGTATCAAGCCAATCAAAACACATCCTTTCATCTTTATTAAAGCTGACCACTGAATAAATATCCTCTGATTCACGAAGATGGATGTAAATATTTCCGGTCATGTTCTTTACCAAGGCCGACGGTTTCCTTTGAGTCCCACACCATACTGCATGAATACATATCCCTGTTCCTTACAAAGGATCGGAGAAACAGCTCCTATACACATTTAACAATCATCCGTTTCCATGGTGATAATGTTACCGATATATCAATGCCGTACAGAGTTAATCCCCGTTGACGCTACATCTGTGACATCACAGCAACAACTGTACTACTACATCTACGATCCTGCAGGCACCGTGACGGTAATCACATTCACTGCATCTCAACTGTATCATAACTGCATCTTCGGAGTTATCACAGATTGAAAGATAATCCTTCCACAACAGCATCTCTACTCTTCACTCTCAGTACAAATCCAACATGTTTCAATCATAGGAAGAGATATGAAATTTGGTAACCTGCTCCCTAACCATACGGTCATATAGGTGGCAGTTGGATATGGCTTCGAGATTTGATTCTGTCCGCCCGGGTGATCTTAAGGCTCTGAAGCCAGCGTTGACACTTGTCGTGGCTGTCGTCGCTGACGGCGTGATGGGAATGATGGTGGTGGTAGCGATGTTGGGCGGAGGAAGGGCGTTCACTGTCCTCGACATCGCTTAATCTGTCCTCCACATTTATCTCCGGAGGACCTTCAAACATGTCTGACTGTGGTTTGGAAAATCTATCGCTAAAGTCGTCTGACCTCAAGACATTTTCATCTCTGAGTGAGATCTGTACTCCCGTGGAAGAAAATGACATGTGGTCCTGCGTCGCGCTGTCTCCGGAAGAAGTCCGGCCTACGAGCTTAAAGTCACGCTTGGAACGCCGGGATAGCTTTGGCGTTGATGTAGGCGACAAACCGGAAACGCGGTTAGAACTTTCTTTCAGAGACAAATGGCTCCTTCTACTTCCGGGTGTGGATGGCGGGGTTGGTGTGGTTGAGCGTCTGTCGATGTCCTCAATGTGAAGACGTTGTCGCATGGTAGGAGACACCGTAGCTGTAGCATCGTCGTCAAGGCTGACGACGTCCATCCCGGGGGACACCTGATCCTGGGCGACTGCTGCGAGCTGGGGACATGACCGGAACCTGTAGGGATAGAAAAAAGGTAGAGTCAGATTGGTGGATGGTGTCACACTGCTACATCGTCGAGAGAGAAGTAAAACATTATTGCTGAGTGTGCAATATGAGTGAGTGAGTGTATTTTTGCGCCGCTTTTAGCAATATTATAGAAATATCACACCATGTATGGAATCAAATCCCGGTCTTCGGCGTGACGAGCGAACACTTTAACCACTAGGCACCCAACCGCCCCATGTACAATATGAATCGCTTGCAAATTCAATTCCAATGACAGGTATATATAGTGCCGAAATGAGTAACGACAGCGAGACAGATTTCAGCCATGTCACTGTTCAATATAGGACGAAAGCATAATGGAAGAAAAGTAGCTGTTGAGTTCATGTCAAAGCCACCGTGAACAAAACATATTCCAAGGGTCATAATCAGAAGGAATGTGAGATTCGAACCAACGATGTGCAGATCCTGGCCTAATTTTCTTTTCTTGCCACTTAGGTGTCACGGTGAGAAAGTGATACATTTCAGCGGTTTGTGGACACAAGCATCAAAGGCCTGATAGCTGCGTGTTGGTGTGATTCTTCTAATGAAACATCCACTATCTGATACTACTTCAGGTTTCTATAGTTCCAAGCCCAACTACGTCACCTTGATAGGGAGCAGGTCGACGGTCGCCGGGAGGCGGTGGAACCTTCCTCCAGCATGTCGTCGTCGTCGTCGGGTTCAAGAAGCTCAAGGCGCATCCCCGACTTTCGTCGACAAATCAGTTGCTTGTTGGATGCCGCTGGGGACTCGAGAGCAAGGTTCTCACCATGTTTGTCGTGCGAGGACATGATCAGCTAGAGGCTCTGAAACAAGCAGGGGTAATCTTGAACTATACTCTCCACCATGTGAATGTTATGGCACATGTGACACTGCTAATACGAGTACACCATCAACAATAAAACATCGTTACATATATATTATACACGTATGAACATACGAGTTCAACAGATATTGACTATAAACCGTACACTGAGCACATGATATATCTACAGTGAAACGAAAACGTTAAAAGGGAAAGTGTCCGTATTAATAAATGTCTGGATTGACGAGTGATCTTTTGTACGAGGTGAGCGTGAATATGGTTTTTCGCAACTTTGAGCAATATTCCAGCAATATCACGGAGGGGGACACGAGAAATGGGCTTTACACATTGCACCCATGTGGGGAATCGAACCCGGGTTGAAAATACTAGGCCACCCCACCGCCTTATCCTTCGTAAGGATATGGTACGAAGTAGCGTCCATTCGATAAATAGACGTGTCCAGCAACACATTCCGGAATGCAGAGGTTCCGGATTATTGTGGTCCGGCTCAACGAGTATTCACTGTATCAACTGACACAGTGTATATACCGGGTTCGACTCCCCACATGGATACAATGTGTGGAGCCCATGTCTGGGGTCCCCCGTCGTGATATTGCTGAAATATTGCTAAAAGCGGCGTAAAACCATACTCACTCACTGTATCGACTTCAGAATGAATAAGACCGCCTCCGTGGTGTAGTGGTTAGAGCGTCCGCCTGGAGAGCGGAAGGTCGCGGGTTCGATCCCCGGCCGCGTCATACCAAAAGACGTTAAAATATGGTACTTGTTGGTCTCTGACTGGCGCTCGGCATTGATGGGTACAACAATTACTGGTCGGCTGGGAGTCAGTATAATGTGTCTGAGTGGGGTATTCATGCTTCACTGCGGCATGGTATCTCAGTGGGCTAGCACTATAAAACCAGCTTCAGTCTGGGCTAGTACAAGCAGCCGCACATACACATACACACGCATGCACGTCGTCATATGAGCGAAATATTCTCAAGCACGACTTTAAACCCAATTTCACCCTCCTCACCTCACCTCACCTCAGAATGAATAACTACTTTAGTTCATGCATATCAACAAGGGGAGGTAAGTCGATTCCCTTTATGACCACAGTATGCAAAGCCCATGAAACTACAGCCTTACAGAACATTACGGTGTAAAGACATACTAACTTACGTTATCTGTCATACAGCTCTGAGATAGATCTGTGTTTACCCAAAGTCTTACACCGCATGATAAGTTAATGTAGTTTCAAGCCGAACACGGGGACAACTCAGCACGTGCCGGTCTAACGGCTGACCAGCACCGCAAGGGTCCAGTTCAATATGTTATTAAAGGCAACAGGACAAGCCGCCGTCTAAAGCTACCACTGATTGTTGGTATAAGTAAATCAATATCACGAATCTCTGTAGGGCCGGACGAGACCGCCGGCAACCCTCGCATATCATACCATTTACATGGATTTAGAGGCTAGGAAACCAATACTGGTCGTATTTAAGAGATCAAAGGCAATTAAAGCAAAGACAATAATAGCCGAAGAGGTAATAAACCTCACTTGTTGATGGATGCGTGACGTCAGAGCATTACGTCAGGGCTGGAGGCTCACGTGAGGCTGCGGGTGCGGTAGAATGTCAATAGCATGTATATGGACAGTTATCACTGTTATGTACAAAGGATGCGGTGACAGGTGCGCGGATGAAGGAGATATACATGTCTACTTACTGTGATGATGCCGGTGAATGATGTCTGTGGATTATGAAATCCTGATGCCGGTTTGCAGTATCATGAATGACACGTGATGCTAGTGACGTGCGGAGACGTTAATCAACGCTACAGTTAAACTGTAAAGGACAAACTAGAGGAGGTAACGAACTCATTATAAGCCTGTTTCAATACGGCGGAATTCCATCGATGTATGATACTTTCAACGCGAACAACTTCTTTCCTTTCGTGACATTTAGTTTTATCCGATAATGGGAACAAACTCGTTATAAGCCAGTTTACATCCTGTACAGTATATTTACACATATCATGAACTAAATTTCCTTCCCTTTCCGCAGTCCCGTGAAGATCCGGGTTAGAATTGGTCTTCAGCAACCCGTGCTTGTCGTAAGAGGCGACTAACGGGATTGGGTGGTCAGGCTCGCTGACCTGATCTACACATGTCATCGTATCCCAGCTGCGTAGATCGATTCCAGCTGGTGATCACTGGATTGTCTGGTTCAGACTCGATTACAGACCGCCGAGATATAGCCGTAATATTCCTGAGAGCGGCGTCAAACAACCAACCAACCAACCAACCAACCAAATCATCATGAGCCAGTTTACATCCTGCACGATACAGCTAATGCCAAAAGTGTGACATACAATATATCATGAACTAAATCTTACTGAAAACACACAGTACAACGATGTTCCACTAACAACGGCGTAATTGGGACGCCAAGAGAATGGCGCGTTTCAAGGCCTCTTTGAAGGTATTTTAAACTAATACGCAGTTACATTGAGGCAAGCAGTTACATTGAGGCAAGAGCAACGACGCACCAACACTGGATTTACTTAAAACAGTTTCCACAGATCATTGATAATGGGACACCTTCAGTAACGCTCCAACAGAGGCAGGGGCAATCACTCACTTACAACCACGCGATTACAATGAATCGATTCATGAAGCATTAACCTTGACTTCTTCCGTGGACGCCCAATGGGTCATTAGCTTTGTTAATACTGATGGCCTCACTAGGCAGGGCTTCTGACTACATACGCATGTGACGTATGTCATAAACAGTACCACATAATTAATACAGCTGTACTGCGCACTAATACAGCATTAGTGTAAGTATTCTCATTCACGTAGAGATTACGGAGTGAAATGCCTCGGAAAAGCACGAACAGCGCCTCATGGGTCCTAAAGTGAAGATCGGGTGCAACAGGTTTTCATGTAAGTGGACTGTTCTTGCCTGGAAGCCATCTTTGAAGAGCATTTTTAAGTCGTGAGCTGGGATTTATGGCACTTATCCACACACTCGTGGTTCTATGGACAAATGGTTGGCTTGTTCCGACTCTTAACACACGAGAAAAATCTTAAGCACGGCCTATTTAACGCCTTGCTGTTCGGCCGTGTCAGAGATTGGTCTAAGCACGTATGTTCTAGTGACTCAATAGAATGAATTGTTTGGTGAAAATGAAGTATGTCATATGCAGGATGACTCTGCTCGCCACAAATGGGCTTCACACATTGTACCGATGTGGAGAATCGAACCCGGGTCTACGGCTTGACGAGCGGACGATTTGACCACTAGGCTACCCCATCGCCCTTACCTGAGTGCGGCTTTCCGACCCTAGATTATAAATCAAAAAGAGAATCCAACACAAGGCTAGGATGATTTGGCCAAAGAAAATTAAGCATTAAGTAAATTCATTCGAATATTATGCTTCATAATGTATGCAAGACCACTTAAATATCTGGGACAAAATTTTATTCGAGAATAACACCTGATCAGACAATAATGCTTCCTGATCGTAGAAAGTGAGTGAGTGAGTTTGGTTTTACGCCGCCTTTGGCAATATTCTATCAATATCACGGCGGGGGACACCAGATACGGGCTTCACACATTCGGCGTGACGAGCAGACGCTTTAACTAGTAGGCTACCCCATCGCCCCGATCGTACAAAGAGAGCACCGGCAACTGGTCGAAAGACACACAAGCTGTGTGTTCTACCGCTCTTTGTGTTTTGTTTCTTGTCTAACGTTCAACAATATTCTAGCTATATGACGGTGGTATATTAACAATCGAGTCTGAATAAGACAATCCAGTGATTAACATCATGAGCATCGATCTACGCAATTGGGATACGATGACATTTGTCAACCACGATAGCGAGCCTTACCACCTGATCCCATTATTCGCCCCTTCCGACACGCATGGGGTGTTGAAGATCAATTCCAATCGAGATCTTCACAGGCATGTAATGCTAAGTGCATTTTATCCTAAAAATAACTCTACAATGAGCTCCATTGACACCGTCTGCTAATGTGAAAAATAACGTTTGTGTGTCTCTGTTTCTATTGTGCGATTGACGAGTAATTCATCACACTAACTCGATAACAATCGGCATTTTCCAAGAATCCGGGACATGGTGAGGCAGTTCCGATTGAAATACCGTTATGTGCCCAATACAGTCTATGTTAGGATGCGACGTGCTGACTTCACGCTTAGATCCATCGGCATCTATATTTGCATCGAAGACTAAAATACCACAAGTATTGACATGGATCCTTTAGAAAACGGCACTGTCGACATGGCAACCAGTGAAATATCACGCAAAACATCAGAAAAACTTAAATCATGAGAAGGGGCAAAAAGTGAAACCCTGCCACGAATGGAATGATTTCATATACAGCTATGAGATTCACCGAGGATATTAGCTGTATTTAGCACACCCCAGACAAGCCATGCTAGTATCCCGTTCATACGACAACGCGGAATCAAGATAAAGCAGACCCCAATGCGACGATTGCATTGTCAAATGGCTATATTGAGGGTAAACCAGTGGAAAGGCTCCAACGGAAACAGCCAGCTGGGTGTTCACGGGATCACGGGAAGTGCGATGACGTCATAAATAAAAGCGTTCCCAGGCAACAGCAACCGCTCACGTAAACTGTCTGTACCACAGGTCACCTAAACACGTATCTCATTACCCTGCCTGGCGTAAACGCTCCCGACAAAATACTACTCCATGAATTCATTCTTTCCTCTATTTCCCCATTAATCTTTTAGTGCGTTCAGTAGCACCCATTTATATAAGGATCAATAGATGTGATCTGTAAAAACAACATACAATCAATTATCTTTGAGCGAGTTGGGCCAATAAAGAGGTGCTTACGCACACATTGAATTAAACTTTGTTGATGAGATTGATAGAGTACTGTACGATCAGTTTACCATTAATCAAAACCTCAGCGATCATATTCAAGGAGTTGTTGCCTTGTAT